ATAAAATAATTTACCAGGAGTGAAAGGAAATATCCGAAAGAGTGGAATAAAAAGGTAAAGAAACAGACAATAGAAAAAAGAAGATAAGGCTGGGTGTGGTGGCTCATGCCTATAATCCTAGCTGATAGTTTGAGCACAGGAATCTGAAAACAGCTAAAATAAGATCAAGACTCCTGCTGGGGTCCATTAAGACCCATGGATCTGGTAGTGATGGACTGAAGAAATATAAAGCTAGGAACAACAAGAAAGAAAGAGATAAGACACAGAATTTTTAAAGGTGGGAACTCAGGTGATCACTGTCTGCTTGTGGGGTTCTCATGGTGGTCCTGAGTCTCAGTTCTCCTCAGCTTTTACTAAAAGAGATAGAAGCCCTCCTGACCATATTTCAGGACTTGAGCTGTTCCCTTGTCTCCACCCCAACCAAATACAAATCTCTACAATAGGTATTTGCTTTGCTTGTTGACTGGGCAGGAAATGGCCTAGTTAATGTACCTTTTTCAGGCCTTGTCACAGCATCTTCTGTGGCCATTATTCTTCAGAGTGTTTACAGACCCAGCAGGGGCATTAGTAAGCTATATCCCCAATAGGCCAGAGCTCTAGGAAAAGCAGGGAAACTTGCTCAATAAGTAATTTCGCAGTGGCTGGTTTAAAGGTAAACTAGCTGATTTTTCTTTGTTCTACCTCACTCAGCTTACATTTTAATTTTTTCCTTTTTTTCTTTTTTAAAAAAGACAGAGTCTCACTTTACTGCCCTTGGTGGAGTGCCGTGGAGTCACAGCTCACAGCAGCCTCCAACTCCTGGGCTTAGGCGATGCTCCTGCCTCAGCCTCCCAAGTAGCTGGGACTACAGGCATCCACCACAACACCTGGCTATTTTTTGTTGCAGTTTGGCCAGGGCTGCACGCCATCCTCGGTATATGGGGCCGGCGCCCTACTCACTGAGCCACAGGCACCGCCCTTAATTTTTTCCTTTTTCTGGGGGTGTTTTCCCTTGCCAAGAATGGGGTCTTCAGTCCCCATTCTGCCTACAATTCTTGTCTCTACTAACAGTAGAAAAAATTAGCTGGGTGTGAAGGCATACATCTATAGTCCTAGCTACTCCAGAGGCTAGGGAAGGAGGATTGCTTGAGCCCAGGAGTTTAAGGTTGTTGTGAGCTACAACAATGCTACTGCACTCTAGTTAGTGCAGCAGAGTGAGACTCTGTCTCAAAAAAAAAAAAAAAAGGAAGGAAGGAAAGGAGGTCAGAAAAACTAAATCTCAGAGATTTAATATCTCACTAAAAGGAATGTAAGAAGAGAAAACAAAAAATGTAGAGGAGTAGCATTATCTAAGAAATTATACAAGAAAACTTCCCAGAAAAGAAGAATACAAATTTCTAGATTGGAAGGACCCACCAAGCACAATAAAAAAAGAAAGACTCATTCCAAGGCACATCATTGAGAAATTAAATAACACTTGAGGACAAAGAAATGATCTTGACAGTTTCCAGAGGGGAAAACAAAAACATAGCCAAATATAAAGACTCAAGAATAATAAAGGACTTCTCAACAGCAACCAAGACAATAGTATAAGGCCTTCAAAATTCTGAAGAAAAAAAAATCCACAGAATTCTAAACCCAGACAATCTAACAAGTGTAAGGATGCAAATAAAAGCTATTTCTACACATGCAAAGCTTTAAAACATTTTCCTTTCAGGTATGTGTTCTCAGAAAGCTACTGGCATTGTACCCTACCAAAGCAAAAGGGTATACTAAAAAGGAGGAAGACATGCAATCTATTCCAACACAGAGATAAGAAGTGAAGCAAATTCTCAGGATGACTGATGGCTAGGCAAGTGGCCCAGAGAAAGCAAAACAGGATAGAAGATTCCAGGAGGGTAGTTTTCAAGAAAGAAACCAATGGGCGAGGCACAGTGGCTCACAGCTATAATGCCAGCACTCTGGGACGGTGAGGTAGGAGGATCACTTGAGTTCAGGAGTTTAAGACCAGCCTGAGCAAGAGCAAGACCTCCATCTCTACTAAAAATAGAAGAACCAGCTAGGTATTGTAGCAGGCACCTGTAATCCCAGCTACACAGGAGATCACTTGAGACCAAGTGTTTGAGGTTGCTACGGCTATGATGCCCTGGCATTCTACCCAGGGGTGACAGAGTGAGAATCTGTCTCAAAGAAAAAAAAAAAAGAAAGAAAGAAATAGATTGACAAATCATCTGATACGTTTAACCATAATAAAGAGTTTTATAGTTTTGTTAAGAACTTTGGTGATAAAATTGATAGGTAGAGGGTGGCACCCGTGGCTCAGTGGGTGGGACACCAGCTGGAGGGTTCGAGCCCAGCCCAGGTCAGCTGAAATTAACAGTGACAACTGCAACAAAAAAATAGCTGGGCATTATGGTCAGCACCTGTAGTCCCAACTGCTTGGGAGGCTGAGGCAAGAGAATTGCTTGAGCCCAAGAGTTTGAGGTTGCTGTGAGCTGTGATGCCATAGCACTCTACTGAGGGTGACATAGTGAGACTCTGTCTCAAAAAAAAAAATTGATAGGTAGATAAAAAACTAAATATATTTAAAAAATAGATTAACTCCAGAAAACACAAAAAGCTGTACAAGGTAAGAAATGCAATCATTTCATACTATGTGGCTTACTTGTAAAACATATTTACATAATCAGAAAAATTTAAACACTAAATATTCATTTAATCAAAAAGTGTGATATAACCATTTTGAAAGATGGAGGTAAGGAAGTGTGCATAGGCATCAGAGTAAGAGAACTATATTCTTATCTTTCACAGTGGGAAGTCAATAGATTTTAAATTAACACAAGTAAATTGCAAAGTCTCATCTAGAAATGTGAAGGTAAATGTCAGAAGAAATAGCTTAAAGAATGTCAAGTACTGGCTCTGTACCCACAGCACAGTGGTTATGGCACCAGCCACATACACCGAGACTGGCGGGTTTGAACCTGGCCTGGGCCTGCTAGACAACAATGATAACTACAACAAAAAATAGTTGGGAGTTATGGCAGGTACTAGTAGTCCTAGCTACTTGGGAGGCTGATGCAAGAGAATTGCTTGAGCCCATGAGTTTGAGGTTGCTGTGAGCTGTAATGCCACAGCACTCTACTGAGGGTAATATAGTAAGACTCTGTCTCAAAAAAAAAAAAGAATTTCAAGTACTATGTTAGCCTAAGGAATAGGTGATAAGGTAGAAGGGCAGGACTGCTTTTTACTTTTTCATGTATTATATTTGACTTCAAAATATTATATACATGCACTTGTATGACATAAATAAAAATTATTATTTTTTTTTTGTTTTTGAGACAGAGTCTCACTTTGTTTCCTCTGGTAGAGTGCTGTGGTGTCATAGCTCATAGCAACTTCAAACTCTTGGGCTCAAGTGATCTTCTTACCTTAGCCTCCCCAGTAGCTGGGAGTACAGGCACCTGCCATAATGCCCAGCTAGTTTTTCTATTTTTAGTAGAGATGTGGTCTCGTTCTGGCTCAGGCTGATCTCTAACTTCTGAGCTCAAGTGATCACCCGCCTTGGCCTTCTAGAGTGTTAGGATTATAGGCATGAGCCATCGTACTCGGCCAAAAATTAAGTTTTAAAAAAATTAAACAAGTTTGATAACAAGAAGGGAAAAAATTCTTTTGGCAACTCAGTTATTATTTTGGGAAGAATTTCTGCCCTAGAGAAAAAAAGTGGTGAAAATCAAAGATGAGAAATACTTGTCTAATTTTTACTCTGAAAATGTAGGGTACTTTGTGGCAAAAAGCATGAGTACTATAGCTATTTCTCAATATAAGCATCTAGTACTCTGGAGTGGTAGAATATAGCTGGATAGGAAAGCCATCTATCCTTCTTTCTCCCATCCAACCTAATATCCCTATGTCTATGATCACAGACAAACACTGAGAAACACCGGGCTATAAGGGAAAATAAGGTCTGGAGAAAGGGCCATATTTCTTTTTTTTTTTTTTGAGACTGAGTCTCACTTTTTCACCTCCCATAGAGTGCCATGGAGTCATAGCTTATAGCAACCTAAAACTCTTGGGCTCAAGCAATTCTCTTGCCTCAGCCTCCCAGGTAGCTGGGACTACAGATGCTTATCACAATGCCCAGCTATTTTCAAGAGATGAGGTCTCACTCTTACAATCCACCCACCTTGGCCTCCCACATGCTAGGATTACAGGAGTGAGCCACAGCACCTGGCCAAAAGGGCCACTTTTTGTAGGTAACCTGAAAGCCAAAAACTTGCCTCAAATAAAGACCTGATTATTAATAGTTAGCAAGGGACACTTAGAACTATCATTAGAAAAAAAATTCAACCACTTGGAAAGTTGTGTGATATCCACTATTCTCTTCATAATTCATACTACAACCTAAACCATCTACCAAAAGATGTGCCTTTCTCAGAATCCAAGCATAGTTATGAAAACACAATTTTTCTTCAAGTGGGGACCAAGTTTATTATAACATTAACAAACTATTAAATGCTGGTGGCATAAGGTAAGGCATTAGATTAAATGCAACAAAATTAGAGGTTCCTTATCCTGAATGTATCCATTTATTATTTATTTATTTATTTGAGACAAAGTCTCAAGCTATTGCCCTTGGTAGAGTGCCATGGTGACATCATAGCTCACAGGAACCTCCAACTCTTAGGCTCAAGCAATCTTCTTGCTTCAGTTTTTTGTATTTTTACTAGGGACGGGGTCTTGCTCTGGCCCAGGCTTATCTCAAACCCATGAGCTCAAACAATCCACTTGCTTCAGCCTCCCAGAGGATTGTAATCCCACGCTAGGATTACAGGAGTGAGCCACCGCCCCAACCCCCACTCCTGCCTCTGAATGAATCCTTTTTAAAATCAACAATGCAACTCCAGTTGTACTATGCACATCTGTTGTCTTTTTGTCATCAAAAATAGTATAATTGCTTTCTTTCCATTAAGTTAAAGACAGATGGTAGACATTAAAAAATACTGCCCTAGGAAATAGATCACCTGGTATTGGAACTGAATGGGCTGTAGTTGGCTGTCATTCTGAGTCATTTTCCTAGCTAAGGCCTCTTTCAGTGCAAGGGCTTTATTCAACTCAATCAACTCCTTAGACATCTGGGCTTGACGGAGAGCATGCTGAGTGGTGAAAGCATCAGAAGACCTGCTGCTGGTCTCTAGACTGGTTTCCAATTGCTGGAAAAAATCAGAATAATAATTTGTAAGTGAAACAAGAAAATGGAGTTCCTTAGGCATTATTTCATCAGGATCTCATAGCCACTTTTCCATTACCAATATCTATTCCTTCATGATTATGGCTTCTCATAGAAAATTTGCTTTGAACATCTGAAATAAATTGAGTTAGTCTACTTCCCTTTTCACATAAGTTCCTTGTTTCTTATATAATTTGTCTATTTTAAAGCAAACTAAGTTTATTGCTCTTTTCTTTATTGATGAATATTTCTTATTTTTACCTCATTCCAAGAGGTCCTAGAAGAGAGAAGGTCCTGCAAACAGCACTTTAGGAATGGTGGAAATGGAGAAAAGGCTCCATTTATTCTCACACAGATGACTGCTAGTGCTTGTTCTAGTATATTCCTTCTTTTGGAATATGAAAACTACTGACATATTTCAGGGGGGAAAGGCTGTCTAAAGCAAACTATTCTCCAGCCTTTCATTTTGACTTTATAATCTTTAGTCAGCATCCAATACATTTTATCTATTTTTGTGATCTGAACCCTCAAAATACTTTCTTTTAGCCCCCAACCATCTCCTCCATATAAAACTATGCTGAGATAAAAACTCTCTTCCATTTTTCCCCTAATAATTTTTTGACTTTGCCGTAATTTCCTAACTTGTTTTTTTCTGCATTTAAAAAAATTTCAGATTAATATGAGGGTACCAACCATTAGGTTGTATGGTTTACACATATAAGGTTAAAGTCTGAGTTGTAGCTGTGTCCATCACCAAGGGAGTGTGCCATATATCCATGCACTGTACCCATCGGGTGAGAGGCTACTGAACACCCTCCACACTTCTTAAATTTAACTTTTTCCTCTCATATGGGTCTGTGATTGTTAATCTCCTAGTTTTGAATTGGTATTGAGTATATGTGATGCTTGTTTTTCCAATCTTATGATACTTTGCTTAGAAGACTATTTTCCATATCTACCCTGGTTTTTACAAAGGATTTAAATGCTCCATCTTTTTATAGCTGAATAGTATTCCACAGTACACATACACCACAGTTTATTAAATCCGTTCATGGGCTGTTTCTACGTCTTTGCAATTGTGAACTGAGCTGTTCTATGAACATTTGAGTGCAAAGGTCTTTGTGGTAAATGTCTTTTTCTTTTATTTGGGTGAATGCCTAGTAATGGGGTTGCAGAGTCAAATGGTTGGTCTACTTTTAGTTGAGGACTCTCCATACTTCTTTCCATAGGGACTGTACTAGTTTGCAGTCCCACCAACAGTGCATGAGTGTTTCTTTCTCTCAGCACCCACACCAGCAACTGTTGCTCTGCGACCTTGTGATGTGGACCATTCTTCTTTTTTTTATTTTGAGACAGAGCCTCAAGCTATCCCCCTGGGTAGAGTGCCGAAGCATCACAGCTCACAGCAACCTCCAACTCCTGGGCTCAAGCGAGTCTCCTGCCTCAGCCTCCCAAGTAGTTGGGACCACAGGCACCCGCCACAATGCCCGGCTATTTTTTGGTTGCAGCTGTCATTGTTATTTGGCGTCTGGGCTGGATTCTAACCCGTCACCTTAGGCGTTATGTGGCTGGCGCCTTAGCCACTTGAGCCACAGGCACCGAGCCTGATGTGGACCATTCTTAATTTGGGTTAGGTGGTATCTCAAAAGTGGTTTTGATTTTCATTTCTCTGATAATTAGGGGTGATGAGTATTTTTTAATGTGTTTATTGGTCACTCTTCTGTCCTTGTGAGAAAATTTCCTATTCATGACTTTTGCTCAGTTTTTAACAGAGTTGTCTGCTCTTTTCTTTTAGATAATGTGCTTGAATTATTTGTAGATTCTGGTGATTAGCCCTTTGTCAGATTTGTAGCATGCAAATATCGCCTCCCATTCTAAAGGCTGTCTGTCTTTTTGCTTTGTGGAATATGTCCTTAGCTGTGCAAAACCTTTTAAACTTGATCAGGCCACATTTATTTATTTTTGTTGCTGCTGCAATTGCCAGTGGGATCTTCTACATAAATTATTTCCCTACGCCAATAAGATTAAGAGTTTTTCCCATACTATCATGTAGGGCTTTTATAGTTTTGTGTTTTAGATTTAAAAATTTTATCCATCGTGAGTTAACTTTTGTAAGTGGCAAGTAATATGGGTCCAGTTTTAGTCTCTTACATGTGGCTAACCAATTCTCCCAGTACCCTCTATTCAACAGGGATTCTTTCGTCCAGTGTATGCTTTTGTTTGCTTTGTCAAAGATCAGATGGGAACATGAGACTAGTTCCATCTCAAGAGTCTCTATTCTGTTCCAGAGATCTGTCTCTATTTTTATCTTTTAATTTGCTGGACAGCTGAGGAAGAATACTAGCATCAAACAAGAAATCAATAAGGTAGATTGCAAATATGGAATATTACAACCCTGAGAAGTCCTGCCACTCATTGTCAGTTAGTTACACTGATAGACATAGAGTTTAATCCAAGTTAGGGATTTTATGAAGCTAAGGGTTTACATTAAAGATTTCTAGATTTTCAGGGTATTCTATGGAGGATAGTAATAATCATAGATTCTCTTCTTCAGATGAGTGAAAAATTATAAAAAAGGTCACAGCTAGAGCTCCCAGTTCTGCACAAAGGGGGTCAGTTACTTACAGTTTCTGGTTCCACCACAGTATCAATGGCCGTAGCCAGGCAAGCAACGGTTTCATCCTGTAGTGACAAATGTTTTGGTTTAGGGAAAGATTCTGAAGTGAACCTTTCTAGAGGATTTTTTATATATACATACATATATATATATATATATATATATATATAGTTTTCATGTGTTTACAGATACTTTTTAAGATGCTGGACCCATTTTGTAGTGAACTAGCCACATGTTTCCATTTCCTACCATTTCAGAGTCTGTTTTTTCTTTTTTTTTTGAGACAGAGTCTCACTACGTCGCCCTCTGTAGAGTGCCTGGCATCACAGCTCATAGCAACCTCAAACTCTTCGGCTTAAGCAATTCTCCTGTCTCAGTCTCCCAAGTAGCTGGGACTACAGACATCTCCTACAATGCCTGGCTATATTTTGGCTGTAGTTGTCATTGCTGTTTGGCAGGCCTAGGCTGGGCTTAAACTTGTCACCTCCAGCGTATGTGGCTGGTGCCCTAGCTGCTTGAGCTACAGACACCGAGCGCTTTCTTTTTCCATAAGGGGCAATTATGTTGTTTTTGTAAAAAATAAGGTCTTTAACAACTGGCATATTTCTTATACTCCTCTTGCCCTGCCAGAGATCACTGGGCCAGAGTGAAATATTTAGCCATTCTAACAGGCCAAAGCTCAACCCATTTAATGGACTCTACCCTTTCTTTTTTATATTTCAGATTAATATAAGGGTATAAACAATTAGGTTACATTGTTTGCATTTATTTGGACTCTACTTTTCTTTTTATATTTCTACAACTAAATTTACCTCTATTTTTTTTTTTTTTTTTGAGACAGAGCCTCAAGCTGTCCCCCTGGGTAGAGTGCTATGGCATTATAGCTCAC